CTTTTAAAAAAGGTTGGATAACGTCCTTGAATTTTTTCAATTGACCTAATCCTTCCAGCCGCACTATGGCCCTGGGGTAGACTCAGCCTCTAACAGAAATGAGTACCAGGAATATTCTTGGAATATTCTTGGGGGTAAAGGGCGGCCGGCGCGTAAGGCTAACAACCTTGCTGCCATCTATGAGCCGATTGTCTAGAAAATGTCGGAACCTCAACATCTCACAACCCTGTGGGCCTCCAAGGTTTGTTACAAAGGCCGCGCCATAGCTCAAGCGGTTAGTCGCTGGCTTCCCACCGCGGCGGACAGGGTTCGATCCCGGGTCTGGTCAAGTGGGATTTGTGGTGGACAAAGTGGCGCTGTGGCGGGTTTTCTCCGAGTACTTCGGTTTCCCCTTCCAATCTTCATTCCACCAAATTCTCCATCATAATCACCTGGGGCAAGCTACAATAGGCCAATCAGTGGCCGCCGTGCCGAGTGGACCCAGTTGGACTCCACCCCCCATTAAGCGAATTAAAAAAATGGCCTGTTACAGGGATACTTTAACTTTACTTTTTACTTATTCTAATAAACGTCTCTTTTAAATGGAATATTTAAACATAGTCAGAGAACTCAATGACGCAAAGTTTTGGTGGAAAAGCTGAACGTTACTTACCCGTTGAAAATATTCTGTGCTTTTGTCAGTGTTTGTTGCGGAAGATGAAATTAGGTTTCATCATTACAGCAGTCACACAAAACCACGAACCAGAATGATAAATAGTTTTTATATTTATTTACAGTATCACAAATATGCACAATTTTACACAAAATATTTAAGTTTAGTACATGTACAATTACATACAGTTTCCAACACAGTCACACACAAACGCTTCTATATTTTTTCTTTCGGTAACAAAGTTACGGATATTAAGAAGAGTTATTTAAATGCCCTGTACATTTTATAAGCTCATTTTCACGATTTTGTAATTACCAATATGACTGGCATTAAGGCTCCCACACACAGACGCGATACTCAGCTCGGTACGGTACGGGACGATATCTAATTACATTGCGCTAAATGGAGGTCCTCACACTGGCGCGGGACTCCGAGGAACGCGATATTATCGCAGTCGGTATATCGCCTCGGTATTGCGCGATATCGCAGCGGTAAATAGTCATGGAACCGTCTTTGGAGGAAGAAGTTTTGCTTTTAGCTGTCGCTCCTGTTGAAGACGAAGGTGAATCCCGACAAGTATTTTACTGAACACTAAATCTGCGTAGTTCTTTCCTCCACATATTCAGTATGTCACATATATGTACAAATATTTACAATTTCATAACGAGTCTCTAATTAAGTATGTATAAGTGATTGCTATGTGTGTTCCTATTTTAGGCGAAAGAGACGAATCACTTGGGTTCACGATATAAGCTTGTGAAGAGTTTGGGGGCGTTTTAGACCCATAGAACTGAAAAGAAGGAAATATAAAACACATTGTGTCAGCAGCGTGTTTGCTTCATAATTTTCTACGTTTAAAAAGCTGTGATGAAAAGTACAGGGAAGAACTGCTACGAGTGGAGCCATTGGAAGGAAAAATGTTCCCTATCCAACCTTTACGTCTCCCAAGCGCGGAAAACGTTAGCTACGCCATTAGAGAGCGGGTTGTTGCGTACTTCAACTAGATGACTGCCCTTGGAATTCATGTTAGTGAACGGAACTGGTGCATAGCCTACATTAAGAATGTCCACAGTTACTGTATATTTAACCCTATATAAATACATACAAATTTTTCTACTTGCTGTCTCTGTTCACTGTAACAGCCAATTCCTTCCACTTTCTGTCCTTAGCATGTGAGTCCTTGTACATCGGATGACGAGTATCGTACAATAAAGCATTTTCTTTGTCAAACTCTGTTTTTGTTCCATTTGGCTACCCATGTCGTTTCACGTACGTAAAGATACTGATTGAGTGTGAGTCATGGCCAACTGGTTATCGGGTGTCAAAGATTCCCGAGTGTCGCGGCGGTGTGCGCGGTCCACTCGGTAAACAGCCGTTTTCGTCCCGAGTGCTATATCGTCCCGAATCGTATCGCGTCTGTGTGTGGGAGCCTTTAAGGTTCAGTTCTTCCTCACACACGTGACTTCTTGCCTCACATCGTTTACCTCTGATTGCTTTACGTTTCATCAGAATTCCAGCTACATGACAGTAACCCAAAGGCTAATGGATACAGAACAATTAAAATTACTGAAGCTTAAATGAAATACTTTGTTTCAGTGTTAGTAACAAACGACTCTGTTATACCGTAATGAAGTTGACTATTGTCTCTTATCTTGTGAATATTTATAATAATATTTCGGTAGTTGTTTTATTCGTGTGTTCAGGAAATTATCATGCATTTTTACTCTTAATGTCGATATTTACCCCTTAAAGCTCAATGGTTACTATATGTACCACTTGCTTTAGCATATTAAAACTCTTGTCTGCCCACACAATGTATCTGTGTGTTCCGTATGGTTCTCACAATAAAGAGCTACTGTCTCCCTAAACAGAATTAACCAGTTGGGCTTTGTAGCGGAGACGTAATGTGTTTCCTGTGAGGTACGAACTATATTTTTATATTATCTAGAAGCAGGCCTGAGCGATACGTACGCTTGACGAAAGGCCATGCATATTCATAGGAGGCAAAGCCATCTATTCTTCGGAGGACGTTACATAAGGACTATGATAGCAAGGGTTCAGTTGAAAAAGTCTCTGGTCATGAGTCTCAAGGAACTTGTCGCCAAGACGAAGAGATGTGCGGTAAACCGCCAGTCGAAAAGTAACTCTGAATTTGACTTTGATTTTGATTTTGAGTTTGACTTTGACGTTGACTTTGACTCCTGAAAAAAATTAGTTAGCATTTTCCCCACATCTTGATAAATAAAATATATGTTTGGTTATGCATGTGTTACACTCTACATCATTATCTGTGGATCTATCATACTGACGTTCGCCCACAGCTTACGTCTGTCCGTTACGACATCAAGTTACTTTAATAAAATAATCTGGAAAAACTCGGAATTACTGGGTTTTTGGACTTTGTCCATCGCCCGGTATTCTAGAAACTAGAAAACACAACGTTTCGGAAACTGGATCTGTTTCCGTCCTCAGGTGAGGGTAGACACCTACTCTGTTGGGTCTCTTAGAAAGAGCTAAGCAGTGATTGTGGTTAGATCTTTCTGAGGGACCCAACAGAGTAGATGTCTCCCCCAATCTCACCTGAGGATGGAAACAGATCCAGTTTCCGAAACGTTGTGTTTTCTAGTTTCTAGGATACCGGGCGATGGACAAAGTCCAAAAATCCACTAATTTTGACGGTTATACACTATCATCAGAACCATTTAGTATCTACTTATAATCCATCATGTTAAGTTACCTGTATGTCTGTCCTTAAGAAGGAGAAAATAAAATTGGATTTATGCCATCTCAGATATCGCAGTTAATTAGAGCATGAGACTAGTATCATGACCCGGCTCTCTTTAACCAAATTCTTGTTAAATATTTTATACAGGATGGGGCGCAGAAACTTCCTTTTTGTGAAGACGCATTGTGAAGGGAGGTGAGGTCTCAGAAAAGTGGGGATAGGCTCGGCGAACGCAGCAGTCGCGGAAGTTTCTGTCTAATAAACCTCAGTAGGAAACATGAGGTGGACGAGTGAGCAGCGTGCGTTTGCTCTCGAAGCCTATTTTTCGAACAACCATTCCAACGTGGCGGTTCAGCGTGCGTTCCGTACTCACTTCGGAGTTAAGCCCGGAGGTCCGGTTCTCGACCGGAAATCGATTTTTTTGTGGGTAGAGAACTTTAGGACAACCGGGAGTGTGGTGAAAAAATCATCAGGACAACAAGTAGCCCAAATTCCGGTGCATATGCTGGAACGTGCAGAGGGGAACTTCAGAAAACGGTTGCATCAGTGCATAGAGAACGGTGGCCATCACCTTCAAGATATTTTGTTTAAAACTACATGATTTAAAACTTTAAAGTATGTTCTTTCATTAGCTAAACATAAATTTTGTCTATCAGCAATAATTTTTCTTTTATTCGTCTTCAAAAAAGGAAGTTTCTGCGCCCCACCATGTATAATATAAGTGATATTGGAATGCATATAGGATATTGGTGGGCAAGCCGGAAGGAAGGAGACCACTGGGAAGACCAAGACGTAAGGCCACGCCATAGCTCAAGCGGCTAGTCGCTGGCTTCCCACCGCGGCGGCCCGGGTTCGATCCCGGGGTCTGATCAAGTGGAATTTGTGGTGGACAAAGTGGCGCTGGGGCGGGTTTTCTCCGAGTACTTCGGTTTCCCCTGCCAGTCTTCATTCTACCAAATTCTGCATCATCATAATCACCCGGGGCAGGCTACAATAGGCCAGTCAGTGGCCGCCGTGCCGCGTGGACGTATGCGGGAGTGGTTATATAGATCCACGTATTCTTAACCTAGACACTAGTTGGAGGTGAGTAGCTAGCTTCACGCCCCGGCTGTTTTACCACCAGGGAAAACGCCCGCGTTATCCATTAGATAGGAAGCTGGGTGAGCCCCAGAATTGGTCTGGACGACATGTAAACGAGAAAATTCTTGCCTCTACCAGGACTCGAACTCCAATCCCTCGTCCTTCCAGCCCGTAGCACTGGACACTCTGTCGGCATGTTATAGTGTTGCAGGATAGTTCTTCCGCACATATAAAGAACAGTGGACAGGTTTTGTTACACGAATTAAAGTTGTAAGCAATCAGCCAATACTGCCTTTACGTAACCTCACAAGTTACGAATGTATGACAGTCAGAAAAGAAAGACTACCGTTTATGAGTTGTTGATAAACTTTACGTTGGCGAGTGGAGTTGGTTCAGATGTAACCAGAAAAGTATCCGATAACAAGACGTCTCTAAAAAGAATATTTTGTTTAATTGACCATAATTTGAATATATTCAGTATCTACGAAAAGTATTTTTTTTTATATTCACAGATAATTAGTGTGACATATTAAAATATATGTATATTGAATTCATATACAAATCAACGATATTCTGAATTATAAATTGATTTTTTGTTCAATTTCTATAGAAAAATATTATATTCTAAGTAACGGATCATGTAATATACTCTTTGTAAAGTATCTCTGATGACACGTCATAAATTCCGGTCCCATATTTTCAACGAAATATCCGGTATGGCGGCCATTTTTTTTTTCAATCGTCTATTGGGAACAGAAAATTGTTATTTTCTAATGATGACATAATGATTTACGTCACTATCTGAAGCACCCTTACAGATAATTTTAGATACGTTTTACGGCGTTGTAATGTATGATACAAATACTGTGACAGTGAGACAGATACATTTAGAAAATATTACATAGGCCTTTTCGTTCAGACTTAGCATATTCTGAGCAGTCCTTTTGGCATTTCAGTACAGTGTTGCTTCGTATACTTGTGATATTCACGACACGAAAAAATGTCACGTTACTTTCAGTAGGGAAGTAGGTAAGGATGTTGTTACACTTCACACGAATAACTCTGAACATTGACACACAACATGATTACAATATTGAAGTATCTGTCTGAATGCTGTGAAGGTTCGTGTTGGAGATGAGGTTTGCTGGAGGCGTTCGCAGCTGGACATGCCGTACAAGGGGAACATTTGCGGTTGAACTGTGTATAGTATTCAGACGTCTGGCTGAAGAAGTGAAAGTTTCCGTCACGATGCTGGTGTCTGTGTTAGTATGAGTATACCTCACGCTGCGCCCCTGGTGGTCGACTCCCCTACTTTCATTTGACCAGCAACAAGACAACCACGCAAAAGGTGGGATTTTCCTGAAAATGAAATAAATACATGTTGGTTTTTGGGTCGCCACAGCGGACACTATGAAGAACGTTGAGATGTGGCGAAATGGTAGGAAGTTTAAGGACGTTTCGGAGGAATATGCTACCCCAATCTTCAGGGTAGTAAGTCAAGCTTGGAAGGAAAGTTATACGGCTGTAAGAGAGAGAGCGGATGAGGTCAGCACTTTCCTCTGAAACGCCAGTAAACTCATACAGGACTACACGGCTTCATAGCCCAGAAAACAGTATTAGTCTTAAGACTCATGTTGTTTGTGATAACGATATAAAATGCATTCATGCAACGTGTCAGAGCGTGAAAATTCTTTGCTATGGTAACCAGAACTTATGTAATTTCAGATCTTTCATCTCACATACTCGAGCCAGAAGGGTTATTTTGGCTACTATTATTTAACTGGGTCCATGAAGCTGAGTCCTTCTTGGGATTAAGTACTTGAGAAGCTGCAAGTATACTATTAAAAAGGTAAAGTTGTCCCTGTGCTTAACTAATTAAGCACTACGACATGAAGGCGTATGGGTGAGTGGACGTATAGATCCACATTTTCTTAACCTCGGTACTAGCTGGAGGTGAATGGTCAGCATCACGCCCTCCCAGCTTTACACCCGGGGAAACAGCCTAGGTACCCATTGGATAGGAGGCTCTGTGGGCCCCAGAGCAGGTCTGGACAAGATACAGAAGAGAAAATTCTTGACCCTACCGGGACTGGAGCTCCGACCTGTCGGCCGTCCAGCCCGTAGCCAGTCGCTATACAGACTGCGCTATCCCGGCTCCTCACGTCCAGCCCGTAGCCAGTCGCTATACCGACTGCGCTATCCCGGCTCCTAAGTACACTATTATTGAATTAAACGAAATAATAACACGTAAGCAGGAATGTTGCAATTTCGTTTAATCAAATTGCTGAATTATTACTCTTGTTGTTACTTCGATGTTCTTTTGAGAGAAAACCCGATTTTTAAAAATATTTATTAAATAAATTTATAAAGCTTTTGGAATGGGGTGGGGCCCAACAAGTGTGATGGACCCGGAGTTCCATCTCACCTTTCTCAGAACCTGTAGTATACAGGATGTCTCAAAAAAGTGTACGTATAAACATTTCGATAAATGAAATAAACGTATAAACCGTTAAATCCGTCAGGACTGGCAATTAGTGCATCAGTAGACCAAGTGTAGGTGTTCTCACTCGCAGAATGACTGGCATAAACTACGCTGCTTTGTGTGTGTGTGTGTGTGTGTGGGGGGGGGTCTGCGAACCACCAGCTGAGAAACACTGGGCATACCTGAGACTCCTGCATATGTTAGTCGAGAAGAGACAATAGATAAGAGGATTGGCTGCCGAGTTCAGTGGAGCGAGGCTCTGGATGAACGTGGCCACTGCGATATTTGTCTGCGTTTTGGAGAAGTACTCAAAAACTTGCAACAAGTCGAACACGATATACGGACTCCAACACAAGATGAAGACTGTAGGAAATTCAATCAATGCATATTTAATTTACAGTGATGTACAAAGTGACTATCCTCATATCTCTAAGAGCAAGTCATGTTTGAAATTAAGACCTTCTTTGTAACGCTTACATGACAAGATGTTTCAGAAATAGAATGCAGGGGTAAAGTAAATAAGTAAAGGTATCCCTGTAACAGGCCGCGGAGGCCCATAGGGTTGTGAGACGTCGAGGTTCCCACATTTTCTCTAGACAGTCGGCTCATATGGCGGTAAGGTTGTTAGCCTTACGCGCAGGCCGTTCTTTACCCCCAAGAATATTCCTCGTACTCATTTCTGTTAGAGGCTGAGTCGACCCCAGGGGCCATAGTGCGGCTGGAAGGATTAGGTAGTAAATTGAAAAAAATCCACCTCATCGGGATTCGATCCCGCGACCTTCCGTCTTGTAGCATAGTGCCTCAACCAACTACACTACCACGTGCCCCCAAATGGACTGAATTCTTGACATGGATAGTAGAATGTTCTGGAATGGATGAATTGGAACTGATTGGGAAGAATGTGGCTGTAGGATAATCTAGTTACTATGTCCGCAATTTCCATATAGAGACTGAAGAAAACCACGACACTTCAGGATCGCCGGTATTACCACTACGTAGATCTACCCAGTATGTAGTTGTAGTGGTAGTTTCATGTTTCCTATTTATTGATGCTCATTCAGTATTGATATTGAATTGTTCCACTTCAAGGTAAAGTTCAAAATACACGTACTGTCAAAGCATGTATCAGTTGAAGGGAACTGTTAGTCATTTTCTGACTTCTAAAAGTAAATCCTTTGTAAGCATGTGAACCTTATAAATTATGACGCAGGAGAATGTATTCCTTGAGACATATTGCGTTTTTTTGTGAGAATGACTGTGGAGACAGTTAATGCGACTTGTCATATGAGGTATACAGTACGTGCTCCTTTATGAAGTTTGTGGAGCGCTCTTTAGAATATTACAGATCCATCAAACACTTTGATATTAATTTGTCCTATATAACGCACAAGGGGGATTACCAAGCCACTGTTTCCGATGGATATTCATTACCACGTGGGTATAGAAGGGTTTCATCTGGTCTTACCAAAGACAATGACAAATGTCATCTTGATGGTCTTTATCTTCGCTTTGGGAATGAGTCCCCTGGAGCTCGCCCGCCTGGAATTCGGGTCGTCAGCGGTAACGAGTTCACCGTCTGCAAATCCCAAAACAGAGAAATTCAGCACGTGCCCTGTTACGTTAATTGGAGACATCAAGAAGTGTAATGTCTTCTGGGATGAGGCCGTGGTATCTGTTAGAAATTTACTGATTTTGCAGATGAATGTAGTGCCTCCATCTTCAGAGTGGATGAGTAAATCTAATGAAATAACGATCAAGAAACAAGCTGTTTCATTCAGACGTCAATAGACTTAACAGACAACACGGCGTAACATCCTAGAAGATAATACTTTTCATTGCCACAGGTGTGAAAACCTAAAACCCCAAATGAACATGTGACGTTTATCTATAATGTCATGTGATTAAATGTGACTAGAACGAGGTTCGTATTGGTAACTGGATTTGTGGTACACTTGCGCTCGTAACTGCAAATAACTAGACAGTCTCATTGAATTACACGCTCCAAAGATAACTGTAACTACAACACATATAAAGTCTTCTCAGTTTTAACTAGCTGTTGCTTGGTAGCGGCTTCCAACGGTGGACGTCTCCTTCCTTGGGTTCCCGAACTATCCCCCATATCTAAGCTACCACCTACTCACTTCTCGGTCGGTCCATTAAATTGATGCTGACCTTCGCCAGTACAGTTATTCCCGGTTTCAGTCTCCTCCACATCCATGACAACGATTTTTATTCTCTCCTACACATGTATATGTTTCGAAATGGGGCCTCCACTTCGACGATGGATGGGTCGGTCTTTCTGTGTAAGCGCTATGTTTGTTGCGCCGTAGTTTCAGCACGAGTATATCCGCATAGTCACGGCGTCCAGATCACTGTGGGCTCTCTGCACCCTCTGTCACTGCACTGTACTAATTAAGGATAATATTAAAATGGATGTTAGAGAAATAGGAAGGGGTGGTATGGACTGGAATTGATAAGGACCAATGGAGGACTCTTGGCGGATACGGTAATGAATGTTCGGGTACCATAAAACGTTGGAAAATTTTTGAGTAGCTCAACGACTGGTAGCTTCTCAAGAAGGACTCAGTTTTGGGGCATGAGATTTTGGTGAAAAGCAAAATGGGGCTGGAGACATCACGTCATTCAGTTTGGGAATCGACGTCTTAGGGACAGTATAACACGAAGGAACCCCTTATCAGCTAGACTGACTTTATTATGGCCGAAAGAACAAGATGGGCATACTTCTGACGTGGCGCGCTTTCTTTGCAGACGGTAAGAGCAGTTTGCTCTTACTCCAGATGGTGAACACGATGACCGTGTAGCAGGCTGTGATTATGAGCGCTGGCACGACGAATACGGTCAGGGCAATCAGAGTCACATACACCTGCCAGTGGTACTGGTGGGGGAAGTCGAGCCAACACTGGAATTCATCTGCAACAGCAATAGTGACAAAAATGACTGGAAAATGTAATGCCCAGATTTAACATCGACATTCTTTGAAACGCATTAAATTAAGCTCAAATTTTCTTCTTCTTCTGCCTTGACTGATTAGCCTCTCTGAGTTCCTGCCTACAGATCCAGAGGTCCCGGGTTAGATTCCTGGCGCTACCAGATTTTCTGGGAAGCAAAAAGTCTCGAACATGGTCCACTCAGCCTGATGAGGAAAGTTGTGGAGCTTCTTGAAGGAAATAGCGGCTCCGGTCTAGAAAACCGAGATTAACGGCCATGGGGATCCGTTGCGCTGACCACGCGACACCCTCTATCGGCAAAAGTTGGCACTAAGTTCGCCGACAAGCGACGGTCGCTTGGTCGGTATAGTTCGCTTGCGGACTACAGGCCACAAAGTTTTTTTTAAGTAAACTGAGAAGGCAGGTTCCCGTAAGGAATATATTTACATCCCAGATATTTCGTTTTTGGAAATAAAATGGCAGTTCACTGTGAATCTCATTTATCGATTCACACACGGATTTTTGTTCACAATATGATGCGATAGCGCTCGAAGAAAAGAAGAAAGGCGGAGGAGGAGATGCTGTATCCCCCCCCCCAGAGAACTTATTTCCATAGAAGCCTCTACAGATCAAGCAAACAACTCTCAGGGACCGCGAGTATTTTCAGAAATTCTTGGCTTCACTACTACTGCCGTGTCAGCTGATCGTGTTCTTCACTTAAACCACCCTCCACAGAGGCGCTAAACCCAGCACAGAAAGAGCAGAGGAAAGTAGTACCTTGTATTTTCTTCTCTTCGTAGAAGATTGCAATAGGAACCGAAAAACAGAAGCTCAGAAGCCAAGCACTGCCAACCAACATCCGCGCTCGTCTCCCTAAAAAATAAATAAATGGCTAAATGTAATCGGAAATACGTCGTGATGGGTATAAATACCGGGTGTCCGGATGAAATGTATCCAAAATAAAATATGTATATCTCGGAAAGTAATTCTCATACACGTATCCGGTTTATGTTATTGGAAAGGATTTTTTTTTCATACCCGGCTTACGCGCATGCGCCGCCACATTTCTGCCACCATGTTAGGAATCACCTGGACAGAGAGATGGCTGGGATATGAATTGGCAGAGGTGGTCCAATCGCTTGGCCTCCTTGGTAGCCAGATTTATCCCAGTCGATTTTTTTCTTGTGAGGTTATGTGAAGAACATTGTCTACCAGGTTAAGATCAACGACCTTCAACACCTGAAAGCCCGCATAAGGGACGCTGTGGCTATGGTAACACTGAACATACTTCAAGCCTGGATATTTGTCGTGCCACCAAGGGAGCCCACATTTAAATTTATTGAGAAAGTTATATACGCAGAAAAACTTTGATAGTTTCCAACCAATTAATGTGTGTAATAAATTTTTTCTGAGATATAATGATTTAATTTTGGATACCTTTCATCCGGACACTGTATATTTTGGCTTTGGATTTGAAGTTCTTACAGACATGAAGAGTTCTGTCTTCAGATATATAATGCTATGTACTCTAGTTCATTGAAAATGAGTCTTTGGCTCACTATTCGACACTGAAGATGGAGCTGATATATTCATCCGAAACGTCAGCTTTCACAGGACTACACGGTGTTATATTCAGCAGTGGGTTTGACGTTTATATGCATTACTTTGGTGAAAATATTTTCTTCATTTTCTTCACGAAACCTCCAAAGTATAAAGGGGAGACACGCACAGAGGAAGGGTAAACACATAAGTAGGTCATTTGGAGATTATAAAATTTATAATTAATTTTATAAAAGGTTGTGTGAGTATGTATTGAACAAGAAGGGGAAAAACACGCTCACATATAGTATCTTACATCTTGCTGAACGCTCGAAATGCATTACTGAAGACGACATGCTGAATCAGCCTTATACGGGGTTATTTAACATAGCAGTCATGGAAATTCTTTTCTAAAGTTATAATTTATTAAGATTATACAGTAAATGAAATGGCCAAATATAGTTAAAATTATCAGTTTACTTGAAATTCCTTGCGAACTATGTATAATATACAAATATTGATTTGACATACTGGGAGGTGGGCTCAGTTGTGGCCAGTACTATCCGATTTCTTCCCGAAGAAGTAATAAAAAACTGAGGTCTTTATCTCAGGCTTTTTCTCCCGAAGCATTTCTGCATAACACCCCTCTTCACGTTAGTGCTGCTTTCATAATTTCGGTGATTTTTCGGTTACGCCATTCATGACATCGTTAATAATATTCGCGAAATATATCAGTATATCTTACAAATTGATTCCAGAATAAAAAAGCGTTATAACGAGTGACGTTAGGTTGGTCAATATTCAACAAAATAATAATATATATTTTATTTATAAGATGTTACACACAGCCTATTGGATTTTCTTTATAGATAAAGCAAAGTAATCATGTCATTTGCCGGTCACGGTAGCCGAGCGGTCTAAGGCATGCACTGTCTTCACTCGCTCGGAAGCCGGGATCGTGGGTTCGAATCCCACTCAGAGCATGGACGTTTGGTGTTTGTGTGTGTGTGAGTTTTTCTGTGTTTGTGTATATGCAGAGGCCTTGCGACGAGCTGATCACCCGCCCAAGAAGTCCTACCGACTGTCTAAGATCTAGTAAACTGAAGTGAAAAGGAAAGTTTCATGGAGGTAGGCCAAGGCCAGAAATGGGGCTGTAGCGCCAAAGGAAAAGAATCGTGTTATTATGAAAAATTGCAGTTGTATTTACTCCTCAGAATCAGCTTGCTAACATATGAAAGGCCAATTAACACGCAGTTATGTCATCCGGTCAGCTCTGCCTTTGGACGTAATCGGCTGTCAACTTTGTTAACAGCCGTTTAGGAGCTAGCTTTGTTTCTGTTAACAGACGAATAGATTTAATGGACTGAAGTCCATGATGGGCTACAACTAAGGAGAACCTCTGTTCCGTTTGTCAGATATCGTGTGATGTCCAAGCATTCAGCAACCAATTCATTACTTCCAAGTAATTTGCATTAATCATGTTAACGGGTTTCCTTTATCTCTTGTCGGATACTGGCCGAGAAATTGGTTTCCCCTCTGCAGACAGATGGCAAGTAATCACGAGAACTACTTACGCGTATGATGCAGTTAGGACGTCTGTAGCTCGGGTGGACTAGAGCCACTTCTCGACTTGGACATCCCGGTTCAAACCATAACCAATCCGTTTGGGATATGTAGTACCGAAAATGATACCGGGAAACCGTCATACCTCAGTCTGTACAGCGAAGGACAGCGGGATGGACTCCTGGGTTCATTTCCCGGCAGGTTTAAGAAATTTTTATTTTCTCCACAGCCTCCATACCGGCTCTAGGGCCCACCCGGCCTCATCTCCAGTTACTACCTGGACTGTTTCTTCGGGGGNCTTTACTTGTCCTTCGTGGAGTGGTGCTGGGGGGGGGGGGGGGACGGCCGGGTTATGAAGCTAACCACTCATATCCAAGTAGTGAGGAGGTGAAGAATGGTGGAGCTATGCCTTCACTACCCCATCTATCTCTATGGTGTAGTGCTTAATTAAATAAGCACAGGGACAACTTTACTTTTTTGTATCTTTCTAAGTAGGTGACTTAACTAAGCAACTTTCTGCCTAACCAACCACCTCTACGAAGCAGAAACGCCCATGAGAAAGTGACAGTTGCTCAGCTGATCAAGACAGCGTCCCAGTGCTCGGATATTAGGAGACGATACAGACAAACCGGATTCCATAAATTGTAGGGGATTCTTAGGCAACAAAATGTCTGTGACTTCCTCAATGACTCTTCTCCGTCGAGTCTTTTTTTTTTGTATGTGGTCTAGTGGTCAGAGTTCCTACCTACAGATCCAAAGGTCTCGGGTTCGATTCCCTGCGATACCATATATTCTGTGAAGTGGTGCGTCTGGAACGGGGCCCCCTCAGCCTCGTGAGGATAATTGAGGAGCTATTTCAAGGAAATAGCGGCTCCGGTCCAGGAAACTGAAATTAACGGCCGTGGGGAATCGTTGCGCTGACCACGCGACACCCTCTATCTGCAAAAGTTGGCACTAACTTCGCCAACAAGCGGCGGTCGCTCAGTCGGTATAGTTCGCTTGCTGACTAAAGGCCACGGAGTTCGTTTGTTTTATGTATTATTATCTGTGGTGACCGTGCGGTCTAGGGCGTGAAACGGCTTCGCCCGTTCGAACACTGGGATCGTGGGTTTGAATCCCACTCAAGACATGGATGTCTGTGTGCGTTTATTCTGTGGTTAGGCTAGTTAGTGGCCTTGCGACGGGCTGATCGCTCGTCCAAGGAGTCTTACCGACTAAGAAACTGAAGTGAAACAAGCGTTTCACGGATGGCCGATGCTCCAAGTGAAGTAACAGGAATAGAGAGAGATAGAATGCGGTAGGAGTAATGAACTGTTATTTGATATTTCACATTACTGTATTCTAATGAGATTTTTTATCCCTTAGGGAATTGGAAGACTTCACTCATTCTCAGTGTTTGGAAAATAAGGTAAGTGATCCCTCAGATTATAAAAACCATTTGGGGGGGGGTTATTCCATGAAATAACATAAAACAACCTGAATATTATGATTATTGGTAAAATTCCCTGTTACACTGAGGTTATCATTGCGATGTTTACTGCGTTGTAACGAAATGTAGTCCGATAGAAGTATACTGACGTTTCGGAGGACCGCACTGATTCCATTTTCAGGGTGAAAGAGTACGCCAAGCAAACAATCAGCAAGAAGAGTTAATGTTCCATTTTTCCGCTCTCAGTTCATTCTAACCTCGGAAAACGTCTGCAAACATCCAGCAAAAACTACACGGCGTCACCTCCCAGAAGACAATAATCTCTATAATTATCCGTTTCGCAGAATTGGTATGATACTTACAGCTTCCTGAGAAATTCATTGGGTGCGTGATGGCGTCGTAGCGATCTATACTGAGAGCCACGAGTACGTAAGTGGACGAATACGTCACAGAGGCCTGTAACAAGTATTAATCGTTTAGTCTGTAAGTAATGACAAGACAGGCACTCTCAGTGGCAGCAGCAGGACCGCTCTCTGCGCTGTCCTGCTTTTCTAAATGAAGAGTTACGAATCCAGAAAGTGACTGGCGCCTTGATGTTCATTCTTCTTGGAGATAAAATTATTTCGAAAAGGAAAAATAAGTGTAATGGCTGAAATGATAATATAGGTTAAAATCGTGATTGTCGTCTTAAAATATTTGTTAGTACAGGATATATCAAAGGCATTTATCGACATTTTAATGAATCATTATAATCTATTTATTTAATTTAGTTATCATCTATTATTCAAGAGTTCTTCTTACGTTACACCTACGTTACTTTACTGGTAGCCTCTTCCTTGACATGTAAGTTATCATGCAAGCCGATGCTTGAGAAGCGAATCTTTTTCCCTCACTAACAACAAAGACCATATTTTTAAATATTGTACCCTAAATGCAGGGGCACGCGGTAGAGTACTTGATTAAGGCACTGTGCTACAAGCCGGAAGGTCGTGAATACAATTCCCGATAAGGACATTGGATTTTTCAATAGATCTAATTCTTCCAGCTCTAAAAGAATTGAGTACCAGGAATGTTCCTGGGATTAATGGGCGGCCGGCGCGTAAGGCTGAGAACCTTACCGCCATCTATGAGCCCACTGTCTAGAAAATGTGGGAGTCTCGACGTCTCACAACCTTATGGTCCTCACAGACTGTTATACGGATAGCTTCACTTTATCTTTTACCCTAAATATTATTAATATTAACACCTTCGGTCTGAGGCTTTCACGACCATGAATATGAAGGGTACTGTTTTCTGAAATTTCGGAGTAACTTATTGCCTCCATCTTCAGTACAAAAATGTAAACATAGAAAGAAACCTGCAAGAAGCAAGCTACAAGCAGAGCGGCTTCTACCAGACGACATGATGTCACACCGCAAATGTTAGTGCTCTTTAAGAATTATATATTTTGCGATTGGTTATATATAATGTTAGGAATCCTGAAAATTAAGTAGTAAAGTCGACATTGGCGTATAAAATTCCTGCCTTCCAAACCAGTGCAGTAAAAGTAATTTTGATTGTTGCCAAACTATCTTTTCAGCACCATTTCCCGAGTTTCAGTCTTCTTAATGATGACTCTCACCAGTATTATCATCTGAGATGTATCAGCGTGTAGTCTGGTAGAGGTCTACCGAGGTTTGCCTCAGTATCACTCTGTTTGCTGCTCGATTGGTGAATGCTTTGGTTATTTATCGACATCAAAAATATAGACAATACATACATTTAAAATGTCAAAATTACATGAGACTACACATCGTAACATCCCAAAATTTGGTGTTTTTTTTTTTAGAAAAAACCCCTTTCGATAGCTCTTATAAAACGTGAACATTTGTTACTTAAGTGTGTGTGCGGCTAATTCCGTGTTTATATATTACAAAGTAGGGCCACAGATATGGAAAGGGAGACATGTGACAGTTTGATGCAACATAAATTAAATTTCTGAAGCCACTGTTCGGTTTTAGCTTTTAAAATTGAACAACCAAAGGAATACGGTTATAAGAGAAGCACTGAAAGTTAAAAAGATAGTGGAAGACAGAAGTGACTGTCAGTAACACATTTAAAAAATGGTAGGGGGGGAATAGACTGGCAAAGTTAGTATATTATTAAAGCAGCTGGAAAGAGAGAGAGAGAAAGAGGGAGATCTTCCCAGAATGAGAAAGAAATACACATTTTGGATCAGAGATAACAGAAGAGGCTTTATAGGTCTGAAAGTTTACATACTTCGAGAAGAATAAGAATAAGAATACGAATCATTGCATATGAATTCACAAAACAACAACAACAACAACAACAAAAATCCATGGCTTGAGTCCGCAAGCGAACTATACCAACCGAGCGACCGCCGCTTGTCGGTGAAGTTAGTGCCAACTTTAGTGGATAGAGGGTGTCACGTGGTCAGCGCAACGTATCCCCACGGCCGTTAATCTCGGTTTTCTAGGCCGGAGCTGCTATTTTCTTGAAATAGCTCCTCAGTTATCCTCACGAGGCTGAGTGGACACCGTTCCAGACCCACTACTTCTCAGAAAACCTGGTAGCGTCGGGAATCGAACCCGGACCTCTGGATCTGTAGCCAGTAACTCTGACCACTAGACCACAAAGACATCCACATTTACATTAATTCATTAGTGTAAATTATGTTAATCTAATGCCTTAATATGCGTCCTAAGGTTCTAGCAGAGCAAGAAACAAAGAATAAGAAAAGAAAAAGAAAAACAAACAATCTGGCTGAGTAACTAGCTCCATGGAACTGAGTTTTTCTTGAGAAGCCGCCAATCGCTAAGCTACTCAAGAATTTCCCAAAATTTTAAGGTACCCAAAAGTTCATTACCGTGTTCGTAAGAGCCCTTCACTGGTCCCTATCCTAAGACAGATCAATCCAGTACATACCACCACATCCTATCTCTAAGATCCATCTTAATATTGTCGTACCTACTTTTAGGTCTTCCTAGTAGTCTCTTTCCTTCTGACTTTTCAACCAAAACTTAATATGCAATTTTCTTCTCCTCCACTCATGCTATATACTCCCTGCAAATGAATTCTCTTTGACTTGAGGGTCATTCCATATGAAGTCATCCAGATAGGTCGCTCACCATTTTTTAAAAAAATTAATATTTTGTACACTTATTTCTACATATTTTCACACATCAAAAATATTTAAAAAAAAATGTAATCCGCTCGGTTCTCCCGGTACAGCCGTTTTTATAATGCGAAAAATCGCGTTTTCGGCTAAAATGAAGGTTTGCGTTATCTTCTGTATCTCGATAACTATTGAAGCTAGAGACTCCAATGAAAAACCAATTTGTTCCTCATGATATGGACTATAAATCATATTATTACAAGGTTTTACTCAACTCATTTTTTCTAGGTGTAATTAAGCTTGAAACTTATCCATCGATTTTGGGAAAAACGCTATTTTTGAGCTCCAGAAACCAATGGGAGGGGGAAAGTATAAGGTGTGTGGTTTCTACCCTTTGTTTTGTCCTACATGAAGAATATAATCACATAGTTTTGAACACCGTACCTATTTTCCAAAATTTTCCAGGAGCTTCCAAACTTTGCTCTGGGCCCAAAATCGGCCATTTTTAACGTCTCATATCTCCGGTGGGGAAGCTCCGAAAAATTTTTAAATGATAAAAAATAATGCGCTATTCCAGAGTAACGTGGAGATAAAATTACAACTTTGATATTGAACTAATAGCGAAGTTTCTATAATGCGAAAAAACGCGTTTTCGCCTGAAATGGAGGTTTGCGTTATCTCCCATATGTCGATATCTATTGAAGCTAGAGACTCCAATAAGAAACCAATTTGTTCCTCATGATATGTACTATAAATCATGTTATTAGAAGGTTTTACTCAGCTCACTTCCTGTAGGTGTAATTAAGCTCGAAACTTACCTATCGATTTTGGGGAAAACGCTATTTTTGACCTTCAGAAACCAATGGGAGGGGGAAAGTATCAGGTCTGCGGTTTCTACCCTTTGTTGTCTCCTATATGGGGAATATAATCACATAGGTTGAACCCCGTACCTATTTTCCAGAATTTTCCAGGAGATTTCAAACTTTGCTCTGGGCCTACAATCGGCCATTTTTAACATCTTATATCACGAGTGGAGGAGCTCCGAAATTTTTTAAATTCCTCGCAAATAATGCTCTATTCTAGAGTAACTTGGAGTTAAAATTACAACTTTGATATTCCACTAATAGCGAAGTTGTGGGCACTTTGAATTTTACCAAAAAATTCAGTACTTCAACAAGTGGCTTACCTGCATCAAATGTTATTAGTTCTTTGTGTACTCCGATGAATATTTTCCACTTTGTTTGAAAGTACACGTGGTTCAGTAAGTGTCCACTATCACGATGTCTTCGAAACCATCGGACTTGGATGTTTAATAACACCTGACCCTGTTTTCCTCCAGAGGGACGACCTGGTGATTTTCTCTTGTGTGGAGCACAGTTTTGCACTTTTGGAACATGCTTTTTAGAATGATTTCATTTCTTGCAACATCCTTTTTTGACACAAGAAAGTAAACTATTCCTGGGATATTTTCTGTGCAGAATATTTACAGTTCTAGCGGGCACATGGTTTGATTAAAATGAGTTCTCTGAAGACTGGCTTTCACTGCTTGCCTCTTCGTGGTGCTGCCAATACCGTCACAGGCATTCTTCCCGTGCGGGGTGGCAAAGAAGTTCCAGTCTGCTTCAAGTCCGAAGTCTTCATAGTGATAAATTAAATTGGAAAGATTCTTTTGTTTTTATATTGGCTTCCAGCGCCATCACTGAAATAAATAACTTTCCTGACTGAAGGCACATTTTCTTTTATATCAGCGATAAGAAGTTTTGGAACACAAAAACTGTGGCTCTATCGTGCTTTACATGATCACTGACTGTACAGAAGCTTGGGCATTTTGTTATAGTGTCCGCCTTGTAGTAATACACAAAAGGGTGAAGTGTAGCCTGTCGATTTACCCAATGGAAACTTTGAATCTCGTTTTGAACGATAAACGAACAATTTTCTGCAAAATCTGTAAAAT